GGGACGGTGTCCGCGGGCCAGTCCCGGCTCAGCTGCGCGGCCAGGCCCAGTGCTGGCGGAGGAGGGAGCAGCTCCAGCCTAGGCAGCAGCAGCAGGAAGCGACCTCTGCTCGCCCCCCTCTGCAACGGGCTCATCAACTCCTACGAGGACAAAAGCAACGACTTCGTCTGGTGGGTTCGAAGCGTGCGCCTTTCCCCCTCGTTAGCTTTGGAGTTTCTGCTGGTTGGACTGATGGGGCCCCGGGGTAAGAGTGGTCTGTTCCGTGCCAAGCCTGCGGAGACATCCAGGCTGGTGGTTGGTGGGGTGTGATGGGGGATGTTGGAGTCCGGAGATTGGTGGCGGTACTGCACAGTTAGGTGCTGATGAGGACGCAGTCCAGGGAACTTAGGGGATCCTAAGTAAAGGGAGAGGCCGGAGATAGAAGGTCAGATAAAAGATTGTGCATAGTGGAGGGAAAGTTGAAAGGAAGGTCGGGCCTTGAATTTTCTGTCTGGTGAGTTTCTCCCTAGTTGGTCCCTGGTGGCTTTTAGTGAATTACAAGTGAATTCCACTTGTAAAGGGAGAGGCTGATGCTTCCTGGGATGCTGAGGCTTAGAGTTGCTGTGGGTCAGAATGTGCTGATTGAAAACGGATGGTGTTCTAAACACGGGTATGGGTGTTTGAAGGCAAAGTAGTGTTAACTGTAAGGGTTTATGCTGTGGACGTATAACGATCTTCTTTCTTTTCGGAATAGGCCATTTTTAAGTCTGCGGTTGAGGGTACTGTAGCCATAAAAGTCTGCTCACAGAAAATCTCACTTCTCAACTGAATTTCTTGAAAGAGGGAACCACATTCGAGAAATATCCATGTGTCATATGTAACTGTATACTGGTTTAACACAGTATATTGGAAGTACTGATTTGACAAACTTAAGTATTAGATAGTTTCGCATTATATTTGACATCATGAACAATATACACGGTAGTATCCAGTTGGCATAGAGGGATTTTCTATATTAAAGTGAAAGATGGAGTTGGTTGTCTTGCGGAGCCTGTTTTGGGATTGATAGGATTATGAGAAAAGAATTGCTTTCAGCTATGTGAGAACTGGTAGAATTTTGTGTTTTTCCCTGGAAGAAAATTGTTGATAGACTTAAAATACTTGTGCTGTAGGATGCCGATTTAGTTCACCATTGAACAGGACCTGAGCTGGAATCATTAAATATACTTGGGTTAAAAGTTGGAACTATAGGAAAGTTGTGATTACACTTATAGTTTCTAATTGCTGTAAAACTGTCACTCACATTTTTATTCTAAGTTATTCTGAATTCAGAATCCACTTCTCATTGAAACTTTTGGGGCTATGATTGTGATTACTACTTATTTATAAGTTATTTTAGCAGTTTGTTGGCTGAAGTTAAGAGGTGTTAGCTCTTACCGAATAGAGAGTGAGTGTCCTATGAACAAAGATAAGATCGTAACATGAAGTTAAGGTTTGCAGAATTGTCTTTTTTGCCACTATTTGCATTTTTATTTTCAGCAGACTAAAAGATAACAAGCATGTCAGGATCCACATTTATATTCTGCCTCCTTGAAATAAGGAATTAATCATTCTTTGAGTAGCACTTGAGAATTCACTGTCTTCCTGGCCCTCTGCGTTTCATTATGCTTATTTTATGGCATTTTATTGAAATGGAAGAGAAATAGGTTACTATAAATAATTGGCACTGATTTATTTTTTGGGGAGAGGGGGATAAGATTACTAAAGTTTTTACCAACCAGTTACCTAATTTTTAAAATTTCAGCATAGTCTCTGAGTCCTAAACACGTTGTTTAGATTATTCTGCTTTATTCTGTATTCTAATGTGATAGTGTCCAGTGGTGAGAGCCTTTAGTTAAAAAATATTTCATTTCCTTTTACTCTTTATTAGTTTGCTCCTCCTCCTCCTGGTGAGATTGAACATTGAGAAGAATTTTTTAATGGGACTTAGTTTTCTAAATTTCCAACCTACATTTGATTTGGCCAATCTTTTGGGGTTAGGAAGATATGGATTAGGCAAGACCCAAGGAATCCTTTTCATTTGTAATTGGCTCTGATTGGTGTTGGTCTTATCTTGTATACTCTAAGGTCAAATTGAACTAATCCAGGTTACTCTGCTGTTAGTTCTTCTAAGTGAACTGAAGTTTAGTTATTGATGATTCCTTATTGATCACATTCGGTAGATATATTTAACTTAACATTTCATTTTATATTTAAAGCAACTATGTGATGTTAAATAGACCTTGCATTTTTAATATGATATAATTATATTCCCATTGAGGTAGAGAAGTTAACTGTTTGAGATTTGACAAATAAAGAGAAACTTTTAGAACTCAGATCTCTCAATGCTTAACTTAGTTCTTTCTTTATATGGGTTGGAAAATTTCAGATCTTTTAAGTTCTAGTATGTGTATTTAGGTTCTTAAATGTGGTACATTGAAGGGAAACAGCTATTTTACAATTACATTAGATAATTTTGTGTCGCTCACTACTCCCTCTTCCTTGCCTGTCTGCCTACCCACATCTCAAGAGGACATGTGAGAACTAGATACCTGGGTGGGCAGTTTTTGCAATTTTCCCTCAGGATAATGACATAGTTTCTTCTCTTTGAGAACATTTAGTTTAAAGTCAAATGCCTAATTTTCAATAACATTGACTTTTGATTTACATCACATTTGAAAATAAGTTATTTAATTGCAGAACTCTGAGGAGCATTTTTTGGATTTATTGTTTTTACTTTATATTTCACATGAGAGATTGAAAGTATTTTATCTAGTTGTAGATAGTTCCAACTGTTTAAATAGAGAATCTGTAGCACAGGGAGCGTATTTAACTTGAAGCTAGATGAACTTTGACATTCAAAGGAAGTATTTTTTTTTTTTTAAGATTGATTTATTTATGCATACAAGAGCAGGGGTGTAGGCCAGAGATTGGGGGTGGGGGATGTTGAGAGGGTTCATCAGTTCACCAGAGATAGAACTATCACCAGAACAGACAGATCTACTGAAATACACTGCTGAGGGAATCAGCAGGATCCCCTTACGATAAGAGAGGTCTGCTGCACCATGTGGGTCTCCTCCCTGGCTAGGTAATGAGCTTGTGCTGCAGTAGCTGCCTATAGCTTCATTAATGCTGCATCTTAACCCCTTTTGCCACCAGGGAGGCCCCTTCAAAGGAAATGTTTCTTTAGTTTTTGGTATATTTTTTTCATGATCCATTTAACTAAACTATGAGTCTAATGTGTGTTTGAAGACAGTTTCTTTTCTGTTACTAGTGACTTTGCATAGCTTTTCCACTAGAAATGATCTTTTCTACCTCTACAATTCCCAGTTACTTTTCAGTTATGTTTCTTGTAGGGAAGTTAGCTCAAATCATCTGTCTGATAGAAAGTAGGTAGGATCTACATTGAATGAACCCTACCATTCAGTGATTATGTGACTACCTCCCTTGTATCAAACTATAAATAATAGACTGTCAAGTAGGGTCTCAAGATTTGATGTGAAGAAACACTTTTTTTTTTTTAAAGATTTATTTATACGTTACAGAACTGGGGTATACAGGCCAGAGGTGCAGGGGTGGTGAGAGGATTCACCAGAGGCAGTGGGTAGCAGAACAGGCTGACTGATGAAGAACACTGCTGAGGGGAGCAGTGGGCTGGAGAGGTCTGCCACGCCATGTGGATCACTTCCAGGGCAGGTGGGGATTGAACTCATGCGGAAGTGGCTTTAGCTTCTTAATCTGTTCTTTAACCCGCCTCTGTGCTTTAACCCGCTACCAGGGAGGGCCTAGAAACATTTTTAACCACATAATTATAATATATCCTGGTATCATTGCTCTGTTAGTACATGGCAAATACTCTTCTGAAGATTTTGTCCTTAGACCAAAACATAGTACTTTAGGCAGCCGGTACTTTTTAGTCACATTTAGCACTCTGAAGATAAAATTTGTTGACCATTCCTGTTACTTAGGTTTTTTCATCCTACTAAAAAGTAGATTACAATGTATTTCTTACTGGATATCAGGATGAAACATTTTTGAAAGACATTGAGTTATAGGTTATAATTTCTTCTTATAGGTTATACTTTCCTCTGTGGAAGTTAAGAAAGTAAGTTGAATATTTAACTAGTCTTATTAGACCATTATGAGTTTATAAATAGGACCACATGTAATCTGAAGAGCTGCTAAAGATTATTCAACTACTGAAACAAACTTTACAGTTTATTACAATAACATCAGTTATAAAATTCCTTGAGTCTGCCAAACTGTCAGTTTGATGATTCCTTAGCATTGTGCCATTGGGATGATGATGATGATGGTGGTGAAAGGTATGCTGTAGAATATATCAAATCATAGCAGTTCATGAATATCTTATCAGATCATCAACATTGCTGTCTGCAGAAGATTTAAGTGAATTAAGTGGTAGAGAAAAGGTAATTTTGAGCAGTACATGGAAGACTATTTACTTGAGTTCTATAAATTGAGAGGGAGGTATTTGTGCAGTAGAATGTATTAACTGATTATATTCTATTTTAGGATTGCTATTGATTGAAGTAGCTACAACCTTAAAGTTTGTTGCTTGTTTTTTGCACCTTGCATGTGCATGTTTGTCAGTGGAGGTGATTTCTTTTTATTTTAAACAATTATTATATAGTCTTTTCCCTCAGAAAACTTTTAAGGCTTGGAAGAAAGGGAGTTTGACATGGAATTAGTTTTCTTTTTCCTATTAAAATTCATTTAATATAAAATAAAATATTCTCAAACTCTTGATTGGATTTTACATGTGGTGTCTGCAATCTTTCACCATCTTGTTCTTTGTGCCCCCCACCAAATTTTTATATATGTATAAAATAAAATTTTGCATGCCTCTTAGCACTAATGAGTTCCAATTTTATATCCTGTCAACCTTTGGTATTTTCAGTCTTTCAACTTTTAGTCATTCTAATGCATGTGTAATAATATTTCTTTGTCATAATTTGCATTGCCTTAATTACTGATGATGCTAAACATATTTCCATATGCTTATTTTCCATTTGCTTCTCTTTAAAAAGGAGTCTATTTTAATCTTTTGCCCATTTTTCTCTTAAGTTGTTTGTCTTGTGTTTTAAAGGTTCTTTATATAAGTCTTTGAATACAAGTCTTGTCAGGCCTGTATATTGTGATTTTTTTTCCCCCTCCCCATCTGTTTCTTATCTTTTTGCTCTCAACATTGTCTTTTGAAGACTCCGTTACATTCATCTTCTATGGTTTTGACTAGTGTCTTAAGAAATTGTTATCTAACATGAAGTAACAAGTTATTTCTTTAGTATTTTCTTCTTGAAGCTGAGTTTTTTTTGTGGCTGGATGTATGATCTGGTCTTTCATACTGTGTGTGAGTTTTCTTGCTCCACTCTAAATACTCAGTTATTGCAGCCCTTATGTTGAAAAGACCCATTGTAATCATTGAGTTTTCTTGGAATCTTTCTCAAAAATATGATAAATAAAATAAAAAAGTGCCAAATACGTTTATTTTCAGAATATTTATTTCGTTGATATATATTATGCCAGTTTCACACTGCCTTAATTACTGTTTTGAAATCAAAAAGTGTAATTTTGTTTCTTTATTTCAAAATCATTTTGGTTATTTAGTTTCTTTATATTTTCACATAAATTTTAGAGTTAGCTTGCCATTTTTTTCTCAAAAAAAAATCTTAAATTTTAATTTGGATGATTGAATCTGTGACTCATTTGAATTACTGACATGTTGATAATAATGACTCTTTGAACTATTAACTAAGTATATATCCACAAATTATCAAGGTCTTTAATTTCTTTGTAATATTTTATAGCTATTTGTGTTTAGATCTTACACATACTTTATTAAATTTAAATTTAAGTATTTCATGTTTTTGGTGCTGTTGTAATTGTTCTTTATATTTCAGGGTCTAGTTGTTGCAAATATATAGAAATAAAATTTATTTTATGTATTGTTTTTTGTATCCCGTGGATTGCTAAATTCTCTTTAGTTTAATAGTCTTTGGTAGAACCTGTGGGATTTCCTTAGAAAACAATTATGTCATATGCAAATACAGTTTTACTACTTCAGAGTTCATATACCCTATTTACTGATTTTTTTTTAAAGGAATTGCTTGTATTTTTTGGTTTATGAGTGATTCTGGGTTATAGTTTTTGGTATTAGACGATGTTTGCTAGGAGTGACAGCATAGCACATCCAGTAGTCTAAACAGAAATCCAGCCTAACTGATAACACAATGGCCCTTAAGCTATAAATGAAAATCTTCCTGCCTGTCCAGCATCAAGGTGTTGGCTCGTTTGGGTTTTTTTGGATCCTGTCTCTTTTATTTCCAGATGGTTATCTTTCTTGATGTGTTTTTACATGGTCACCTTGATCTGTGTTTCACCTATATCCTAATCTCCTTTATTAAGGACATGTATTATTGGATTAGAGCCCACTATATATGACCTTTATTTTTTAATTTTTTTAAAGATTTATTTATTTATACAGAACTGGGGTACAGGCCAGAGATGCGGAGGGTGAGAGGATTCACCAGGAACAGAGTGGGGAGCAGAACAGGCAGATCGACGAAGCACACTGCTGAGGGGAGCAGCGGACTGGTCAGGAGAGGTCTGCTGTGGCAGGCGGGGTTCGAATTCATGCGGAAATGGCTTAAGCTTCTTAGTGCAATGCTTTAACCCGCTGCGCCACCAGGGAGGGCCCTATATGACCTTATTTTACCCTGATTACCTTAAAGATTTATTAATTTATGCATACAAGAACTGGGGTACAGGCTCAGAGTTGCAGGAGGCTCAGAGGATTCACCAGAAAGAGAGAGCAGGAAGCAGAACAGGCAGATGTGCTGAAATACACTACTGAGGGGAGCAGTAGGTGAGTCAGGGGAGTCATGCCACACCATGTGGGTCACCTCCCTGGCCGGGGATGGAACTCCTGCTGCAGTGGCTGTGATAGCTAAAATTTTTCCCCAATTTTCTCTCTTTCTCTCTCTCTCTTTTTTTTTTAGATAGAATGCTCACAAAAATTTTTGTCTACCTTTCACTGGTCAGAACTGTGACATATGAGCAACCCTAGCTGTAAAAGTAGGCTGGGATTTTAAATATTCTGCTTTTGGTCTTCCATGGGAAAACAAGAAGGAAGTTCAGAATTGATATGTAGTGCATAGTAACTGCAAATAGTAAAGAACAGTAGTTAAGAATGTCAGTCTGTGTTTGAATCAAAGTTCAGCGTCAATCTGTGTTACTTTCTAGCTGGGTGACTTTAACATTTCTTTGCCGCAATTTCCTCATCTGTAGAATGTGTTTAGTAATAGGCACCTACCTCACTGTATTGTTAAAAATTATGAGTAAGGTATTGGGTACATTTTAATTTACTCATTTACTTGATTTTGGAGCTTCATTACCCTTAGGGTTATCATCAACAAGTTTTAATTTTATCAGCAAGTCCCTAAAGATCATTTATGTCAAAAGAAATTTCCCTGAGATGTTTTTTAGCTATGCATTGGAATTTTCTTTTTTGCTTTTGGCATTATTAAGGCATTTTCTAATTTGTAATCACTCTCGTTTTAAAAACATTCAATTATTTTTCTGTTTTCTTTTTAGCCCTATCTGCTTTGATATGATTGAGGAAGCATACATGACAAAATGTGGCCACAGCTTTTGGTAAGTTGATTTTATTTTGCAAAACAAGTCTTTTGACAATTTTCACTATGTGTTAATGTACTATTAAGAAGCTATTTTTAAACTAATTTTGTTTAATCTTGTAATCATTTCTTTACTAAAATATCGGTTGGATAGCTAAAGAGATAAGCATATAGTTGGTGCATATAATGTGAAAAATTTAAATTTACCAGAGGTCTTACAGATGGATTTTAAAACCTTTTGTTTATTAATATTAACTTGAATTGCCATTTTGAAAAATTGGGAGTGGTGCTGGTTAATCAGAATGATGTATAATGTGTCTTTCCCTCATTTGGCGGGATAAGTGGGAGGCTTAGTAAAGTAGTAAGCTAGGAAGACTCAAGAAATGGATATAATTGAAAAGCTCTGTATTCACTAACTTACTTTGCTCATATCATGATACATTATTTTATGCATTAAAATTTTTTTTTCGGTTGTGATAACACCCATCAACATGAAATTACCCTTCTGGACCATTTTTAATTTGAGTAATTATTAAGTACATTCACATTGTTATGCATTTCATCTTGAGTAACTGAAACTCTATACCATAAAAAAAACTCATCATTTTCCTCTTTCCCAAACTATATCAGTCATCATTCTACTTTCTGTTTCCTGAATTTAAGTGCTCTAGGTACCTTGTATTTTTGTCTGTCCATTCATTTATCAGTGGGCACCTGGATTGCTTCCATATCTCAACTGTTGTTAATAATCCTTTCTTAAACATAGGTGTTTAAATCTCTTTGATATGCTGCTTTCAGTTTTTGAAGGTTATAGTCTCAGAAACAGAATTGCTGGGCCAGTTGGTAATTCTGTGTTTTTAAGTTTTTGAGGAATCTCCAAATTGCAGTACCATTTTACATTTCCACCAATAGTATACAAAGGTTCCAGTTTTTTTTAACACTTCTTACAGCTGTTATTTCCAATTTTTTTAGTTGTAGTTACCCTAATGAGTATGTAATCTGTGTACTTTTTAATTCCTTTTTTTTTTTTTGGTGGTACTTTCTACTTGTAATCAATTACCTTTGAAAATTATTCTTTTGACGTATTATTTTATACTTAGTATTTTTGTTGGGCTCTAAGTTAATGTATTCTAATTCATGTTGAAATTATACTTCTAATTGAAGTTGAATACGATACCTGATAACTTTGATACATGTTGGTCAAAAAGAGTACTGAGTGCTGTCACCAATCTCTCTTTCAGGTTGAGCTGTAGAGCATGATGCATCATTGATAGGTATATTCACTATGCCAATCATTAAAGATAAGTTTAGTATAAAAAGTTCATATAATTCAATGCTCTTTATTAATAAAAGTTATTTAAAAAATAAATAAAAGTTATTCAGTTGATAAGAGCAGGGTGTACTCATGGCTACAAACACAACTTTTTATCATATAGAAAGAAGTACAAATGAAATGTAAGTACCACTTTTCTTTAGCCTATCTTGCTCAGTTACCTCAAAGGTTATCACCGGTAAGAAAATTGTGTATTTCCAAATATTTTCATTGGTTTCTTTACAGAAAAGCATCTTAAGTGTCTGAATTAAATTTTACTTCTTAGAATATCATTTCGTTGACATTGTAGTAGCTCATATTCTATATTGCTGATGGCATTTTAACCATGAGGGACTTCTTTTAGACTGATACATATATGTTTTTGGTCTTGGCTTTTTCAGGCTGATTGTTTAGCACTAGGTTTTTTCAGGCTGATTGGTTTTTCTCTGGTTCATTAATTGATCCAGCACTTTAGAATTCCATAGGGAACCATGTATTTCTCTTGAGATTCTGTAGTTTCATCATTTTGAAAAATTAGGTTGTTTTAGAGTAGGCCTATAGTAGTGCTTCTCAACTTTGATAGTATTGACATATTAGACCTGGTAATTACTTGTTGTAGTGATTATCCTGGGTATTATTGACTGCTTATCAGTATCCCTGACCACTGCTCAGTAGAAACTCCTTTCTCCTGGGTTGGTGAAAAACAAAATGTTTCCAGATTTTGCCAGCTATCCCTTAGGGGACAGAATTGTTTTCAAATGAAAACTACTAATAATAGAGTTAAAAACAAATAAAAAAAGGAAGTTCTTGAAGTTGTTAGGCCAGGTCCTCATTCTGACTTTAAAACTTACCAAACCTTTGTCAAGTCACTCAACCACTCTCTTCTGTTGTTCTTCTCAGTTCTCTTCACCTCCTCTTTTACAGATGTGAAGGTATTGAAGTATGACACAAATTGTAAAGTGAGGTTTTCAGTTTTTAACTACCCTTCTCTAAATGCTGTTATTCATTGTGACACTTGAAAAAAGGTCTTGTGAAACAGCCTACTGAATCAGATCAATAATCATACTATGTTATATAGCATGTATATTACTGATTATACCTAGATGAGTTTAGCTTTTTCAGTGTCTCTTATAATCTTCAAGTTGTATAATTAGGCTATTATTGGAAAACCCTATTGGCTTCTTAAATCCTTTCTTTTTCCTTCAAATTTAGGCAATTTAAGCTTTGATCCTTGTTATAATTCAACTGACTGTGTTACTATTGTGAATGTGTTTTAAAGTACCTACCAGAGAGCAGGTTTTGTAGGATAGAAACCAAATTATTGGCAGGAGCTGCAGTCCTATTTTCAAGTTTGCTAAGTTATGAAGCATTTTTGCAATTTTGTTTAAAAGAAAAACTCATATAATTATTTACCTTAAACTAATATTGAAGATTTTGGAAGTTCAGTTATTAACAGTAACCCATTTTATCTGTTCTTTGCTAACACTGGTAGTCTAGAACAAAGCAGTATACTCCTTCCAAATTCTGTTCCAATTATTAGCACTAAATCAAAGATCGGGCCACATCAGTAATTCCTGCTCTGCATCTCACATATAAATTGTAAATCATTCATAGTAACAGGTTGAAGACAACATTGCACACACACACAAACATATATATATATATATATATATATTAACAATAACATTGCACTTTATTCGTTCCCACTTGTCAATGAACTTACTGTTACCTATAATACAACCAAAACATGATGCTACAATTGAAAAAAATAACGTACATGATATGAAGATAAAGGTTTGCTGGTTCTCCACCTTTTAGCTACTTTCAGCCTATCCTTACACGTTACTTCTCAAACCTCATCTATCAAGTCCTCATTTACTGTTTGCTTTAACTCAAAATAATTATACTTAACAGGAGTCCCTGTCATCACTGTTACCTGCAGCATAAATGTGATCAAACTGGGATGTCAGCTTACCTTTGGAACTTTTATCTAGTTTGTCTTATTTGTCTTCTTGTATCATGCATTATTCTTTCTTTATAGTTGGTTATATTTAGCTGCTGTTACTGATTTGTCTTTGTTGTGCTTGTTACAGTTCCTCTTTTCAAGGAATAATCTGGTTACTCACAATTTTCTATATCTACTCCTTTTTATACAGATATATATTTTATAGTTTACATATATGCTTATAGAGGAAACAGCAACTATATACAAATACAGTGAAATATTATCATATATCCACCTACTTAATAGAGGAGATAGGCACCTATTTTTTGTCAGCACCCTGTGGTACCAAGTAATTTTTTTTTAGAGTAATTATTAAAATTTTTGTCAGGTGGACCTAAGATATATATCTCTCTTAACCTTTTTATATTAACCTATTTTTGATCCCTAACTTAGGCACTTACCCTTTTGGAATCCAGAGCATTGATCCTCTCTGGGTTGATGATGGTCAGGTAAATCAGATGAATGAGAATGAGTTAGAGTTACTGTAGTTAGATCTTGAACATTTCTCTCTTATTAGAGGAGTAAATTTACTTTTTTTATAATCTTTAAAAAATTTTATATCAGATGTAGTCCCCATAGAATTTCCACCACCGATTCACCCATGTACCATCACCTTAGTCCCTTATGGTCTTCCCGCCCTTGTAGAATGCTTCTGATTTGTTATTGTCTGATTATTTTTGTTTAGTTTTTTTTTTATTTGCTATCATTTTTCCCTCTGTCTCCTTATTTGTTTTCCCTATACTCCTATAAGTAAAACCATCCAGTGTTTTTCTTCTTCTTTCACTGAGCATAATCCCATAATTCCATCCATGTTGCCGTGAATGGCATTAGATTATCTTTTTTTGCTGATAGTATTCCATTGTACATACATACGATATCTTCTTGATGCAGTCATATATTTTTGGGCATTTGTAGATTTTTTTTGTATAACCAGAAGGCAGCAAAAGTCTGTTTCTTTTGGTTATATCTATTTTTGTCCATGTAGTCAACATTTATTGAGTTCCAAGTTTTTAACAGAATATTGTGATAGACATGGTAAATCAAATTCTTGCTTTTAAGTAGTAACTAGAAAACTGACTGACCAGCACAACATACACAGATATATACAGAATAATAAGATAGTTACTGTTTCTCAAACTAACAGTTACTATTTCTCAAACTAAGATCTACCTTGTAGGAACAGAGTTAAAAGATAAATGTGATATACCTTGTCACTTTGGTTTTGGATAGTGGTATGTAATACGATGCATTTTAATTTATGATATATATGGATATTTTCAAGTACAATGCAGAAAATTTTATTGAATTTTAATTCTTGAGTTCCTTCTTCCTTCTGTGTCGCAGATTATTTTTTCTTCTAGGATAAGGTGGTATTGTAAACCTGCTGACAAAGGATATGGGTTCAAAGCTTAAGAAAGGAAAGAGGATGTTTTCCTGGATTCTGGGATAATTTCTTATATATTAACAAACTATTTCTCTGACTTAACAACTTGTTATTTGTGTTATATTATTTGCTCATTTTCTAATGTTTCTTTTCAAAGCCATTTGCTAAAACCAAAATATTCTCTGCTTATCTATCAACCTTGTCTCCCATCTATAATAACCTTTCCAGATTCTTTACTGACTTTATTGCATACCTTTTGTTAGGATTAAATTTTGTCAGTGGGAATATTTTCTTGTAAGAAACCTTATGCATGAAGATTTCTGGTTTTGTTTTGATAACATGGAAGGGAATAGGTAGATATATATTAAACTCAGCTCAGACTGAAAGAGTAGCCTTTTTTTTTTTAATCTACCATGCTAGAGATTGTTTTCTCATTCAGTAATACCGTGATATAATGATTTTCTAATGTCATTTTGATATTTTTCTGATATTTGGTGGGACGTTATTTAGAAAGTTTTACTATAAGACAGTAATATTTATAAAAAGTCAGACATTAAATAAAAGTATGTAAGACAGGAAACATTTCTTGACATCTCATCTCTTTACAACTTTTAAGAGGTTAGTTATTAGATTATTAGATTAGTTATTAGATTAGTTTTCATGGCCTGTAGTTGCATATTGTGATACGATTTTATTGTCTGCATTGTATTGCAATCAGGGTTGTGTTTGCAAATATATTTAGTCAATTTCCTAGTGTTTTGGTCGCTTCTGATTAATTTTACTATTTACATATAGCCTTGAAAACATATATACACACATATATTTAAATGTATATACATACATCGTATATGAGTATATATGTGTATATTATATATCTACATATATGTATACATACACGTATCTGCTTATTTCCCTAGAATCAATTCTTAGAAGTAAAATCATTTTGGGAATACACAGCTTTAAAGTTTTTCGTACACCTTGCCTCTTGGAAAAATTGTGGCAGCTGTATTTTCTACAGTAGTTCATGAGATTGTTCATGTCCAGTACTCTACAATTAAACTATCATTAAGGACATTAGCATGCTATGAATAATCTGTTTTTTAGTAAATCATACTTATTAGCTTTTCCTGGGTGCTTTCATGCACTATTTTTAATTGCATGAACTTAAAATTTAGTGTATTAAAGAAACTTTTGTATCAGAAATTTATAACAATAGATTTGTTGAGTTATTTAAAAGTAACTTTTATACTATTATTTGATAAACTTTGTTTATGATATAAAAGTATAAATCAAAATGAATTTATTATCTATTAGATTACTTATGTTCAAAATGAGGAATAGAATACTAAGAAATTATTTTGTGGCCAATTTATTAATTTGTCACTGACTTAATCAAACCCACTTTTTTTTTCTTTGTTAATAGCTACAAGTGTATTCATCAGAGTTTGGAGGATAATAATAGATGTCCCAAATGTAACTATGTTGTGGATAATATTGACCATCTATACCCTAATTTCTTGGGTGAGTCTTTGTAATGATTTTTTTTTTCTTCAGTATTCTGTCCCCAAAAGTGTACACTAGCACTAATTTGTTCAGAAAACGTTTTTAGAGGTAAGCGTATCTGTTGTCTCACACAGCAGGATGTTTCTCCCAGTCCTCCCTTGGCTGTGACATAAATTCCCCTGTTATATGTTGTAAGAACCATATAGTATTCTAAGTTTCATTTAAAAATGTGGTATAACTAATGGATTATTATGTAAATGGTCAGACAAAGAGACTGAAGGAGATGGAGAGGTACAAAATACCTGTCTGTGTCACACAGAAGTGTTGCATTCCTGTTGTATTTGCTTTTAGGGCAGAAGAAAGAACATCAGATCAAAGGGCTAAAGGGAAAGGAAGGGGAGAAAGTCTCAGATTTGGTGTGAGGCAAGAGAACTGGGAAATACTTAAGCATAGAACTTTTGAGAGAGGATTGGTAATTTGAGACAAATAGAGAATCTGTAAATGGGGAGTGGGAATAATAGCTAGTCAGAGATCACTTGTGATAATCTTAAAATTCTGTATGTTCAAAGACACATGGTGGGGCATCTGTAGTCTGGGTTTTTGAAGATTAAAGTCCTGAAACATTTTTCAGATATGTGTAGGTATAAAGTAGGATACTATTAGGTGTATATATATCAAAACATTTAGATTACTGTAAAGTCAAAGTTGGGGTATCATTTCTACTTGTATATTAGATTCTATCTGTTAGAAGTTAGAAAATGAGTACATAATATGTTAATATCTCAAGAGGAATCAGTGCTTTTGTTACAGTTTGATTTTGTTTAGCTCAAATGATAGTTTATTATAAGCCATGAATTTGAATTTTTACAGCTTTGTTTTCTTTTTACTTCTACTCTAAAGTCATATTGTCTACAGTTCTTTTTTCCCCCCTCTTACTCAAAAATGCAAATCTAGGCCCTCCCTGGTGGTGCAACAGGTTAAAGCATAGCACTATGAAGTTTATCACAGCCACAGCATCACGAGCTCAATAGCCTGCCAAGGGGTGACCCACATGGCGTAGCAGACCTCTCCTGACCCACCTGCTGCTCCCCTCAGCAGTGCATCTGCCTGTTCTGCTTCCCACTCTGTGTCTGGTGAATCCTCTCATCCCCCACACCTCTGGTGTATGCCCCAGTTCTGTATGTGTAAGTAAATAAATCTTTAAAAAAAAAATGCAGGGCCCTCCCTGGTGGCACAGTGGGTTAAAGCACAGCACTAAGAAGCTAAAGCCACTTCAGCATAAGTTCCATCCCTGGCCCTGGAGGCCGTCTACATGGCATGGCAGACCTCATGACCCACTTGCTGCTCCTTTTCAGCAGTGTACTTCATTGACCTGCCTGTTCTGCTCCCCACTCTGTATCTGGTGAATCTTTTCACTGCATCTGCACCTCTGGCCTGTATCCCACTTCTGTATGCATAAATGAATAAATCTTTAAAAAAATTCAAACTTCTATCTTTTCATGAAGAAAAATAACTGGATAATTGCAAAACAGGAAGGAGCCATGACGGAGGTATTTTGAAGGTCTTTTGTTGGCATACTATAAGGTTTTATGGCAAACTTGGAAAAGAAACTGAGGGACTAAAGAAAGATTTAGTGATATGATACTCTCTAGGACTGTATTAGGTCAAAGAGAAAGGGAGCACTGAATTCTAGTATAGAAGAAATACAAGATCCAGTTCTAAATTAGAAAATGATTTTATACTTTATATATTTATTCGCAAATATATGTATCCAGTAAATAGTGAAGTTACAATTATTGATTTGCTAAGATAGAAATCATCTTGGTATTTGTCAGGAAGGATGTGGAGCCCACTTCTGAGAAATGCAGAAGGTAAAAAAAAATCAGGGTGATGATTTTAACTTTTTGTTTTTATGCATAAAATTTTTGGTTTTAGGTAATTGGAATGAAAATATTTTATGTCTCTATTTAAGTCTTTTAATTGTCGTGCAACTTCCAATGTGATCATGTATGCCAATCATGGAAATAACATTTTATCTTGAAAAATATAGTTGTTTTTCTGCCTGCACATCTCTTCCAGTCTTTACCTTTGCACAGTGTTAGTAAATTTAGTTCATATAGTAGATTTGTTTCCCATGCACATATTAGTTTCCCTTGCAGTATGATTTTGAAGTTTTGTAGGTAGCCTTTTATTTATTTATTTGTTACATATAGATTAGAACCCTTTACTTTCAATGCTATGTAAGTCATAAGTAGAAGTCTGGGTCATATAATTTCCTTCTTCTTCTTCTTCTTTTTTTTTTAATATGATCACCTTTATTTTATTTTTAAAAAAGATTTATTTATCTATGCATACAGAGGTATGGAGGGTGAGAGGAGTCACCAGAGACAGTGTGGGGAGCAGATCAGACAGATCTATGAAGTACACTGCTGAGGGGAGCAATGGGTGGGTCAGGAGAGGTCTGCTGCACCATTTGGGTCACCTCCTGGCTCCAACCGGCACTAAAGTGGCTGCTGCTAGCTTGCAGTGCTATACTTTAATCCACTGTGCCACCAGGGAGGGCCTGGGTCACACAGTTTCTACAACAGTGATGTTCAAATTGTTTTGGTTAGATAACATAGAAATCCAGACAAATAACATTTCCATCTTCTGCTGCTTTAGGTCAGTCTGTCTCAAATCTTTTCCATTTTTTCTGTATAGTGAATCTTGGTATGCCTATTATGACCCTATTCTATCTCTTTCTTTGTAAAGCTTACTCATTAACATTTTGATTGTTCTTTGTAAATGTCTTTCAATAATAACAATAATAATTATTACATTATATTACAGCTACTACTTCTTACATATTTGTCTTCCTACTCTGAGTTGCTTGAACTTTAGATTAAATCTTAACTTAAATTGAGTCGTTCTGATCTTGGAAGTTAGGTTCCTAGTGTGGATTTGGGACCGCTCTGGCTTGTTTGAAAGTATAGTTGGGTTGTGGGTTAGTGGCAAGTATCAGATAGTTGGGTTTATATGCCAGTTCTCTCTGACACAATCTATTGCCAAGAGTAAGTTTCTTATGCTCGCTCTCATTCTTTTATCTTTAAAATAGGGAGATTATTGTCATAAAATAATGTGTATAAATTAAAGTGTCTACCTGGTCTACTGCTAGTTTCCCTTTATCATTTTTACAGAAAATTCATTTAACAGTGGCTTAAACATTAAGAGAAATGTATCTATTCACATGAAAAGAATTTCTTGGATTAGATGATTTGGTGGTTCAGTGATACTATTATATTCTTTACCTCTTCCTGTTTCTCAGTAAATGCTTTAGCACTTTGACTTTCCTTAAGATTGCAAAGTTCTAGATATAATTTCTGCCTTATTGAAGGCAGAAAAATATTTTTTTTCCCTCCTATCCATTTTCTCAAAGGTAACAATACTCTCATTGATCAAAATTGGGTCACATTTTTTTTTTTTTTAAGATTTTTATTTATTTATGCATACAGAACTGGGGTACAGGCCAGAGGTGCAGGGGAGGCGAGAGGCTTCACCAGAGACAGAGTGAGGAGCAGAACAGGCAGATCAACGAAGTACACTGCTGAGGGGAGCAGCGGGCGGGTCAGGAGAGGTCTGCCACGCCATGTGGTCTCCTCCGGGGCAGGCGGGAATCGAACTCATGCGGAAGTGGCTTTAGCTTCTCAGTGCAGTGCTTTAACCCGCTGCGCCACCAGGGAGGGAATTGGGTCACATTTTTAACCTGATGTCAATACTTAGGTTAGTCAAGAAACCTACCTTCAGATGGGGTGCGGTTCACCATTCTGAAAATATTTGACAGTCAGACATGTTGAATAAAATCATGTTATTCCAGAAAAATGGGTGTAAGATTGTTTCTTTTTTAATTTGGAGAAATTTTAAAAGTTCAGGCAGAACCCAACTAAACAGAACAACTAAATGATACACTTCACAAAAATGCAAATTGTGTGTCTTTGTTTCTGTTTTCAGTAAATGAACTTATTCTCAAACAGAAGCAAAGATTTGAGGAAAAGAGGTTCAAATTGGACCACTCAGTGAGTAGCACCGTATGTTTCAACTTTATTACTATTTTTAATAAATTTAATTTTTTTGTTTTTATTGGTTTAATATTAGATAGTATAGCTTCTATATTACTTTCTTAAAGAAAATTTATTTAAGATTATTCTATTCAATAAGGAACTTTCTTCACTGCATTGCTTGTAACATTTACTCTAGTAATAGTCTTTTGAAAAGCCTGGTAGATTCGCACTGAGTGAGAGTTGCTTGTAAATAATGACTTTTGAAGGAGTATGTGGATGGGATTTTGGAAAAACTATTGATTCTCAGTTTAAGAGGATTAGCCCTAAATTATTGATTCAAATAAACTTAAATTTATGTATTACTAAATGCAAAGTTGAAAATATGGCTAGACAGATAATTAAAATGGCACTGCTAGAGATGCTAAATTAACATTTATCTTGAGTATACCTTTTATATCTGTTCTCTAAATTCATTTAAGAGCACAATAGAGTTTAAATTATAATTAGAAGACAGTGTGGAGTTAGCTGGTAAGGAGTAGGTTGGAACATCATCATTCATTGATTTTTGTATCTGTGTAATAAATATATTAGGAAATAGTGGTTAAATCTTAGTTGACACTCTTTAAAATAATTTTCTGAGGAAGTTACTTTGTTCTTCATTTTTAGAATGGTCACAGGTGGCAAATATTTCAGGATTTGTTGGGAACTGATCAAGATAACCTTGACTTGGCCAACGTCAACCTCATGTTGGAGTTATTAGTGCAGAAGAAGAAACAACTGGAAGCAGTAAGTGGCAGTTAAAATAAAATAAAAAAAAGTGTTTTTTTTTTTTTATTGCTTTGAAAATGAGCTAGAAATGTTTAGAAGTATTAAGGTAGTGCCACTTTGTTCAGTTTTACAAAACAAGAAACATCTGTAAGGGGTCACTTCTGATCGGTTTTCTCTTTGAATTAAAAAAACCAAACAAACAGATTTCTTAAAATACAACTTAGTTGCAATGACTAAAAACTAAGTGTTAAGAAAAATCAAGAGTTGAACTCCTGCCATTTGTGACAGCATGGCTGATAAAAAAAGTCAGAGAAAAATATCAGTTGACTTCACTAATAGGTGGGAATGTAGAGAAACAAAACAAAGGAAGTGATAAAACTAAACCAAACAAACCTTAGAAATATGACTGCAGAATTCAGGCCACTAGAGGAGGATGGAGAATAAGGTTCAGGGGTCTGTGGTACAAGGAATAAGGTCGCCTTGATGATGGATGGGTTGTGATGATGTACATCTGAGTAAGTGGGAACCTATTCCCCTAAATCATAAAGTGTCGTAAACCAATGGTATCATAGTAAAATAAAAAAGAAAAATTATGAGGAACTACAATTTTAGTAGGGGATAATTATATTTGCCAGCTTTCTTCTGTTGCATATCTTCCTTTTCATGTCTTTCCCTCTTGTTAAATTTTGAGAAGAAAGTGGAGATAATTTTATCTACTTAAAAACTTTATAGTAGATGCCCATTGGCAGCAACTGCCATCTATGGCTTAACTAGTTTGTTTGCAAAAATTTGAACTGGAACTAAATATATCATGCTTCATGTAATGAATTGTAAATGTAAAATTGCCTTTATTTCTTGTAAATAAGTGTCTAAAATATAAAATGTGATTTCGCATTTGTTAGGAATTGAATATGAACCATTATAAGCAATACATAACGCTATCATAAGCAGATACTCACCCAGACCTAGCTTAAATAAAAAGGGAGAATTTATTGAGAGAATAAGGGAATGAATCCATTGCATATACATGATGGGAAGATTGGAACCATGTCTTCTTAGTAATATTTGGAAATGATATTAGATACTTGAGTACTATTAAGAGTTTGGTTGTATTTCTCTATTTCTTTGGGACAGCTGATTATTTTTTTCTCAGATTTTTTTTATCTAATGGTGGATTTTATTTCTTCATTTATGATTTTTGGTAAAAGAAGAACTAAGGCTCTCCTTGCTAACTTAACTTCAAAAAATTCTGTGGTTGGATTCTGATTAACACAACCTGGATCTGCAAATTATAGAGTGGGAGTCTTAATTAGTTGGATAATAGGGTTGGCTAGGTTGAATGGATCAGTCAGTTTCCAGTGTCATGCCTTTTTGGAGGTAGGATTGCTGAGACTCTTGTTAAGTTTTTTTTTTGGAAGGGGGCTTATCTTACATTCTTTCAACTTTATTGACATACAGCACTGTATTCATAAATTTAAGGTGGATGGCATAATGACTTCATATATTGTGTGATAATTACCATAATGAATTCTTTTAGCATCTGTTATCTCATACAAATACAAGAGAAAAAGAAAATGTTACTTTCCTTGTGATGAGAACTTTTAGGATTTACTCTATTAACTTCTTTAAATTATACTTATGCAGTTATGTTTAACTATAGCCATTATAAGTGTACATTGCATCCTCATTGCTTTTTTAAAGATTTATTTATTTATGTATACAAGAGCTGGGGTATAGGCCAGAGGTGCAGGAGGTGGGAAGAGGATTCATCAGACTCAGAGTTGGGAGCAGAACAGGCAGGTTGACTAAGTACAATGCTGAGGGGAGCATTGGGTGAGATAGGAGAGGTCTGCCAACCCATGTGGGATATCTCCCTGGCCTAGGATTGAATTCATGCTGAGATGTGTGTAGGTATCCTAGCTTCCTAGTGCTGTGCTTTAACCCCTTGCGCCACCACGGAGGGCCTACATCCTCATTACTTAACCTAAGTTTCTACCTTTTTGACCAATTTCATCCTGTTTCACCACTCTCTACTTCTGGTTACCACAACTTTGATTTCTCTGTGTTTTTGTTTTGTATTATTGATTTTTAAGATTCCACAGCTAGGTGAAATAATTCAATAGTTGTCTCTCATTGTCTGACTGAGTTCACATAATATCCTGACTGACTTTTCATAATATCTTTAAGGTCAGTTCATGCTGCAGCAAATGGCAGGACTTCCTTTTATTTATAAAGATTTATTTATTTACGCATACAGAACTGGGGTACAGGCCAGAGGTGCAGGGGCAGTGAGAGGATTCACCAGAGCCAGAGTGTGGGTCAGAACAGGCTGACTGACGAAGTACACTGCTGAGGGGATCAGGAGAGGTCTGCCGCACCATGTGAATTACCTGTATGGAACGAACTCATGCTGAAGTGGCGTTAGCTTCTTAGTGCTGTGCTTTAACCCTCTGCGACAATAGGGAAGGCCCAGGACTTCCTTTTTCTGCTGAAGAGCATCTGTGTGTGTGTGTGTGTGTGTGTGTGTGTGTGTGTGTCTGTGTCTGTCTGTCTCTTAAATTTTGTATTCATTTTTGCTGCCTTGGACACTTAAGTTGAGTCCCTTTCTTGCTCACTGTAAATATTGCTGCAGAGAACATGCACTACATATATCTCTGAAACAGTGTGCTCATGTTTATGTTCTGTATCATCAGGAGTGAAATTGCTGGATCATATGGTAGTTTTATTTTTAATTTTTATAGGAACTTTTGTACCATTTTCTGTAGTAACTGTACTAATTTACAATCCCACTTAGCAGTGTACATATTCTCTTTTGTCCACATATTCACCAGTTTTTATCTCATCTTTTTAATAATAGCCATTCCACTTGATATGAGGTTATGTCTTATGGTGATTTTGATTTACATTTCCTAATAGTGATGTTGAGTACCTTTTTACCATTTGAAACAGGTAAATGATTGGTTACCTGTTTGTATTGCTGTTTAATTTTATGAATAATTCCAACATAAGAAAAGCATAGAAAATGATGAGATTTACGATATGCCTGTAGTTTTAGTAAATATTATTATAGCTGTACCATCAGTGTCTCAATCTGCCTTTTGAGATTTTTTTTTTATATTTAAGGTCTTACTCCTTCCTCCAAAATAACCACATATGAAATTGGCAATAATTTTTCTCAAGAGTGTATGTGTGCTACTTACATAGATTTATATTACAACCATATAAAGTTTGTATAATTTAGATGTGTAGTATAGTTCCATACTGGTTCTTTAACATATGCTTCTTCGTTTACTTTTTGAGGTCCATTTTGATGAATACAGATCTAGTATAACTTATCTATAGAAGTTGAAGACATATTCTCTTTATGATGGACATTGAAGTTCTTCCCAATTCTTAGCTAGGAGTATTAGTATTGCATTTAATAGTGTTATTTTTGTCTCCTTATCTCATTCATAGGTGTACACACATGGACATGTAAGTGTGCTTATGCACACACAAATAGTAATTTAAGGAGGGAAATAGCTGCTCAGAGGGTTTGCCGATAGATTTTAAATTAGTAAATATTGATAAATTGCTTGTTCCTGGGTTAGTACCATATCAACATTTGGTATTTCATATTTTTAGTTTCTGTCAATATGATAGTTTTCAGATACTTCTGTGTATATTTTGTATTATGCTTTTTGTTTTTTGGTATTTCCATGATCACTAGTGAAACTGAAAATTTCTTCATGCTTGACTCTTGGATTCTAGTTGGTAAATTACCTCTGCATATATTCTATACACCTATCTTGATGTGTAAGAAGCTTGTGTATGTGTGTGTTTGTGTGTGTGTATTGCTACTTTGTCAGTTACATGTTTTGTTAATTGAATTTTTGGCAAATTGCATTGTGGTCATACAAACTGAATTATAACTGAATCTTTTTAGGATTCCATTTTATTTGCTTTTTTTGGCTTTTCAGATATATATTGTATTATAGTGGTTGCTTATTTGTTTTTACTATAATTGTTATTTCATCATACCTTCAAGTATTGTTACCCTACTTCATCTATATTATAAAAACTTTATAATTATCATTTTTTTCTTTCTTTATTGGTAGAAAATTTATTTCTCTTTTTCTCTGCCAACCACTTTTCCCAGGCTCTATGGGGAGATACAAAGTAGATTAGACACTGGAGGAATTACTATGGTAGTGAAAATTGTTATTTAATGTGGCAGAGAAGATGAGAAAGGTCATTATCAGGCAGAAGAACAAGAGAGGGCAAAACCCAGAATGGTTAAGGAGTGTTTGCTTCAGAGAAGGAATGACCAGGATGAAGTTCCCTAACACAATCCAATTCCAGCTCCAGAGCCAGCCATGCTTACTGTGGCGGCCCAGCCCCAGTCAACTTGGTTGCTTTGTCTCTGTCTCTTGAAGTAGCACTGATTTGGAAGTTGCATCTAGGAACTAATGAGGTCAGGGGAACATACGGCTGCCAAGTTACAGAGTCTCTCATCTGTCTCATTAAGCATTGCAGCAGACAGTGATCTACTCAGTAGCTAGGAGGTGCTTCTGACTAAGGAGCAGGTGGAGTCAAGCTTACCTCATATACACATTTTCAGTGAATGAGGGTATATCTCAGGAGAGTAGCTCTCAGTTCAGAGAAGACAGAAGGGCAGAGTTTATTGCCTCTTCTTGTCAGAGTTGAGTATATAGTATGCCACTAGAAGGATGATTATTCGTAGTCAATATGAAATTTATTTAATTTTTATTGAAAATGAAATTTGGCAATAATTCAGTTTACCGTTCCTGCTTTTTGTGATTGAAACTGTTAACAGGTACAGCAAACATATATAAAAGTTGTAATCTTTAGAAGACATTATACAAACAATTCCTACTTTAACCCAAATACTTAGCCCTTTTCAGATGTCATCATTTTTTCTTACAGATCTGAGATTCCATTGACTCATTTCCCTTTTATCTGTATATAACTGTTTTATTGTAGACTGATAATTTTCTATGTTTCCACATAGGAGTCTA